AAACGGCACATTTCTTCTTCTACGCTTGCATTATTGGAAGAGCAGACGCTGAATGCGCACTTTCATGTGGTTTGGTCTGCCGGCTTCCGTAGCGTCGTGATCGCGCAGGTGCACGCTTTCAGGAAATCCTATACACTACTGTTTATGCTCTAAAAACATTCTAAATGACTTTGTTTTGAGTAAATTCTGGATGCTACCCACTCAGGACACTTGGAATACATTGGACGACCAGTATGGAGGAATATTGACACGTTTTTTGTGGACTTTTATGGGCCTTTCTGTCTCGGGCACCATAGACCTCCATTATTTGAATGTCAGCAGACAGCAAGAAGCCTCCCAGATCTCCAGATGCATTTGAGATATCAAAAAAGTACTCCAGAGTGTTGTTCAGCATGGGGGTGAGTAGAAAATGAAGGCTAATCATGTTTTGGGTGTACTATTCCTTTAAGCTCACCTACAGGTGCTGGTCATAAAATTAGAATATCATGAAAAAGTAGATTGATTTCAGTAATTCCATTTAAAAAGTGAAACTTGTATATTATATTCATACATTACATACAAACTCATATATTTCAGATGTTTATTTTGTTTAATTTTGATGATTACAAATGACAACAAATGAAAATCTCAAATTCATCATATCAGAAAATTAGAATATTGTGAAAAGGTTCAAAATTGATGGCCCCTGGTGCCACACTCTAATCAGCTAATTATCTCAAACCACCTGCAAAAGCCTTTAAATGGTCTTTCAGTCTAGTTCTATAGGCTACACAATCATGGGGAAGACTGCTGACTTGACAGTTGTCCAAAAGACGACCATCGACACCTTGCACAAGGAGGGCAAGACACAAAAGGTCATCGCTAAAGAGGCTGGCTGTTCACAGAGCTCAGTGTCCAAGCACATTAATAGAGAGGCGAAGGGAAGGAAAAGATGTGGTCGAAAAAAGTGTACAAGCAAGAGAGATAACCGCACCCTGGAGAGGATTGTGAAACAAAACCCATTCAAAAATGTGGGGGAGATTCACAAAGAGTGGACTGCAGCTGGAGTGAGTGCTTCAAGAACCACCACACACAGACATATGAAAGACATGGGTTTCTGCTGTCGCATTCCTTGTGTCAAGCCACTCTTGAACCACAGACAGCGTCAGAAGCGTCTTGCCTGGGCTAAAGAGAAACAGGACTGGACTGCTGGTGAGTGGTCCAAAGTCATGTTCTCTGATGAAAGTAAATTTTGCATTTCCTTTGGAAATCAAGGTCCCAGAGTCTGGAGGAAAAGAAGAGAGGCACTTCATCCACGTTGCTTGAAGTCCAGTGTAAAGTTTCCACAGTCAGTGATGGTTTGGGGTGCCATGTCATCTGCTGGTGTTGGTCCATTGTGTTTTCTGAGGTCCAGGGTCAACGCAGCCACATACCAGGAAGTTTTAGAGCACTTCATGCTTCCTGCAGCTGACCAACTTTTTGGAGATGCAGATTTCATTTTCCAACAGGACTTGGCACCTGCACACAGTGCCAAAGCTACCAGTACCTGGTTGAAGGACCATGGTATCCCTGTTCTTAATTGGCCAGCAAACTCTCCTGACCTTAACCCCATAGAAAATCTATGGGGTATTGTGAAGAAGAAGATGCAATACACCAGACCCAACAATTCAGAAGAGCTAAAAGCCACTATTAGAGCAACCTGGGCTATCATAACACCTGAGCAGTGCCACAGACTGATCGACTCCATGCCACGCCGCATTGCTGCAGTAATACAGGCCAAAGGAGGCCCAACTAAATACTGAGTGCTGTACATGCTCATACTTTTCATGTTCATACTTTTCAGTTGGCCAACATTTCTATAAATCCTTTGTTTTTATTGGTCTTCAGTAATATTCTAATTTTCTGATATGATGAATTTGAGATTTTCATTTGTTGTCATTTGTAATCATCAAAATTAAACAAAATAAACATCTGAAATATATGAGTTTGTATGTAATGTATGAATATAATATACAAGTTTCACTTTTTAAATGGAATTACTGAAATCAATCTACTTTTTCATGATATTCTAATTTTATGACCAGCACCTGTAGAGCTTCAGGCTAGAGACAGGTTTCCTGTGATGCAGCTCTCCCAGAGCTTCAGGCCAGAGACAGGGTTCCAGTGAGGCAGCTCTTCCTGAGCTTCAGACCAGAGACAGGTTTCCAGTGAGGCACAGACAAAGGAGAGATTAGAATCTGATCTCACACTAGAGACAACTAAGATTCTATCAGTAACAGACGTTCAGGTAGCTAACCAAACTAAGATCAACACTGCGGCGTGGAAGCAAGGTCTGGCAGGAGCTTATAAAGGGAAGGTCTCCTAATGAGTAGATGGAAATCAGGTGTGCTGGAAGACTCCAGCCCAAGGAGACCCACGGCGCACTCTGCTGGAGACAGAGGGCAATCTCCAGATCCCAACAGTAACTCCAGTCCTAAAAGACAGTAACAAGAGACAGAAGAGGATCCTCGGCGCCCTCTGGTGGGCAAGCCTGAGGATCCCAACACTATTAAAAACAGCTAAAAAAGAAAAATATAATTGTGTATGTAAACTTATTCACATAATTGTACAAAAAAGTCAACGTTGTAATTATTTAATACACTAAAAGTAAGTCTACATTAATTAATTACTGTTTGCAAAAAAAAAAAAAAAAATCCATCATTTATAATCTGATACCAGAGAACAAATACTTTTGTTTTATTGGCTCCTTATGGAATATGGAAATTGCCTGATCAGTACGATCAATTTAAGCCACGCCTCAGCTGCCTAACGTTTGCTTGGAATCCCAAAGCCTTGGTTTGGTGAGTCGTTTAAGTGGCTGTAAAGAGCAGAGACGTCATTTATAAAGGTTTTCTATGCACAGGGCCTGAAACTTGATGCTGCAATGCATCATTATTGCTGATTCAGGACGATGAGTAAAATTTGAAGTTTAATTCAAAATGAAAATAGACAAAGCTATTTTTATTTTTCAAATATTATTAATAATTACAACATTTTTTAATCCCTTTTAAAATATTTAACGATAAATGTTCTCTCATCATTTATACAAACCCCTTAGTAGATGTAAAAACCTCTATTGGGAAGGTAAAAATCACCAGGTGGTTTTTATATATTTTTTTAGCTATAATCAGGCTAATGGAGCAACTACAGAAGTTTTTGTTGAAAGAAAACTAAACTAACCAGTTTCACGCATGATGAGAACCACTTAATACAAGAACCTCTAATTGACAATCCATCCTTTTTCCCTCATGCTTATCCCAAACGGGGTGCTGGTGCCTATCTCCAGCTGTCTACGGGTGAGAGGCAGGGTACACCTTCGACAGGTCGCCAGTCCATCGCAGGGCAACAAGGAGACACACAGGAAAAAAAAAACATTCACACTCAATCCTAAGGAGAATTAAGAGAAGCCAATTAAAGTAACAGTAATGTTTTTGGACTGTGGGAGGAAGCCGGAGTACCCAGAAAGAACTCACGCATGCTCAGGAACATGCAACCTCCATGCAGAAAGACCAAGACAAGGCAGAAGTGCTACCCACATCTCCACCGAGCAACCCATCCCCTGACTTAATTATTAAAATATTCAAGGGAAAAAAAGAAAACAGTTTTATGACAACAAAAGGAAACATTTACATCCACATTGGATGGATAGAAACAGAGCAACATAATAATGAGCAGAATAATTCGATTCTATTGTGGATATAGTATAGGGATTCCTTCTGTAGAAATTTAAGGAGTTAATTAACTATTGATCTAATACTCCCAACTGCTTGGTCTCACAGCAGTGCTGAAGCATCCTCTGTGCAGCAGAAGATGTTTAAATGTTCACAGCAATCAGTGTGAATGCTTTAAAGTTTGTTATCAGTTATGGTTTAATCCATGGTACAGATCAGCTTGATCATTGGGGAGAGGAAGGCAATATTGTTCAGACCATGATGTTGACTTACAGGTGTGTTTTTAACCCCCATCATGTCACTATCTTTGTTTTCAGAGACCCCCTGACACTAAATTAAGCTTATGCATCATCAGAATGTCATTAAGCGATGAAACTTTTTTCTTATGAACTATAATTTTTTATTTTACACAGTAAAACCTCTTCTTAGAAAGAGATAAATTCACATTTCAAACCTTGTTTTGCACTTCCCCTTTATAAATAAAACCCCAGACCAGAGTCCTGCAGGGGTCTGAATTTTCAAAACTGTATCTGACCGCACATGTAGAGATTTTCAAAACTGTATCTGACCGCACATGTAGAGCCGGAGCAAAAAGAACTGATCATCTGTCCAAACCTATCAATTAACTGAGTTCGCTATAAAGTCCACCATATACTGTAGGCCCCGCTCTATAAAGTGAGTGAGGGATTTAGAGGTTAGGGCGGATGTTTAGGCACAGTAAGCTTGTATGAGTTATGAAAATAGCAACTTTAAAACAATGCATGCACGAGAAGAAATGGGCTCATGCATGCGATCGCACGTGCATTTTCTTCAACATGGAGAGGGCGGATCTTTTAAAAAATTAGTATAAATCCTCCACAATAACTTAAAAATAATACTGTTATCTGGATATTCTTGAATCAGGTTATTTTTTTAAGATGTAGTTAATAAATAAGAAAATATAAATAGGTTTAACTCATGCTCTAACCTTCTGTACGATACCTGTTCACATTTTGTTCATTTATACCCGCACCCATGAAATGTTGTTTTTTTTTACCCGTAGATGTACATTTATACAGTTAGCAGCCGATACCTGTGGGTACCTGACTGGTGCACGACTCTGCCCCAGTTTATTTGTGGTTATCCTTCCACTCAACTTTCTCCTACCACTATGTAAAACTCTCTTATCTTTCTATGTTTCTCTAAGGGAAAGGAAGTGTTTTATCTTTTCATTATATTTCACATTTAGATGTGCCTCTGCTTTTAATCTTCCTAATGCCACTCCTGTGTGAAATCATAAAAAACCGATTAACTTACTCTGACGTATTGCAGCACATGGAGGCTGATCGCTTGACAGATGGCTTCGTTTCAGCGGTGGGTATACATCTGTTACATTGATTTCTCTTCTTGCCCTTTGAGATGATTCCAGATAAGAGGCCTGGTTTAAAGCTTTAGTTGTGATCTTTGCTGCCTGACCTCCTTTGACTGCCTCCTGTATAAAAACCCACTTTAGAAACATAGATTTGATAAAAAGAGGAAATGTAAACCTCCATTCTGTGTCCTTTAGAGCTCCTCCTCGGATGGCCTGGTCTCCATTCTTAAGAGGAGGCGAGCCTCACTAGATGGACTTCCTCCTCAGAGTGACAGTGCAGATAAGCAGAACTCTAGACGCAAAGTTCGCTTCAGCGAGCCAGAGGACGGCTTAGACCAAGGTGGAGTAAAACAATCCCAAACACACAGTCTATGTTCTCAATATATATATATGCCTCTAACATGTCTTTTCTTGTAGATGAGCTTGGAGGTGATTCCTGTCTTATCCTACTGCTGCTGTGTCTGATCACTGTGGTGATCAGCATAGGTGGGACTGCGCTCTACTGCACTCTGGTGGATACTTACTCCAACATCTGCACCGACTTCACCCAGAACGTCGACTTCTACATCACAAATGCTCGGGGCTTCCTGGAAGGCCTCGGGCAGTGGCTCCCTCTACAGACTTAGACCCAAATGGGTTTTCTTCCTGTAACAGAAGAGACTTCAGTGAAAAGGCACAGGAAACCTGGTGGGACATCCACGACCTGCTGCTGTTCCAGAGAGTTTCACTCTCACTGTTTACTAGACACATGCACAAACAGTGCCTTGCAAAGAATCCATAACCGTGAACTTTTAAAGTTTTTAGCACATTAGAGCTTCTAACTTAGTAAATTTTAGTGGAATTTAAGGTGATAGACCTGCACAAAATGAGATATTATTGTGAAGTAACGGATAAAATAAAATAATTAAAATGCTGGAAACAAAGAGCAGCAGTTCTTAGGTTATATGGGTTTGCATATCAGGAAACTAATTTGGATTTAGGTCCAAATTCTGATGAAGACCATCTAGCATGAGTGTCCACTGATCTAAACTAATAACTGTAGCTCTAGGTGTAGCTTTATACTCACATCAACAGGTTTTCTTCCATTATTTTTCTCCATCTGCTGCCTCCCATCTTGCCATCAAATCCCTTAAGAGTGACGCTGCCATGTTTAGTTTCAGGTGTTGATGTCCTCAGCCTGATATGTGGTGTTCATTTTCCACCACATGTTTTAGATTCAATCCAATAGTTTTCATTTTGTGATATATTTACTGTTTTTTTTTTGAGGCAAAGAGAAGCAGGATTTCTTTTTAGATCTTACAACATCTGCTTGTCACCTCAAAGCCCTAACAAAGCGTGACACACTTTGGAGTTTTTATTGCTTATAACATTGTAAAACCATGCAGCCCTTCCCTTCCACTATACAATAATGTACCAGTTAGTGTTGATCTGTTAAGTATAATACTTATAGAATAGGGCAAACATCACGACAAAATGCAGAGTAAATGTTTCCTTTGCAAGGCACTGTAACTGAATAGGTGCTCAACCATGTCAATACCAACAAGTTCACCTCACCAAATGTTGTAAATATTGTGTAACTAGGCTGCAAGTCTGGATGCCGCTGAGGAGGGCTGGAGACTCTCCACAGTACGTAGATTAAAACAGAAGCCATTGATGTGTCTTGTCTTTTCCTCACACTCCTGCAGCATTTGTAACAGCGTTTAAATGTTCGATGTTACCTCAGAGAAACTGCCTTCAGAAACACTTGCATCACGTTTCTAATTATTCTTCTATCTGAACAGGTATTTTTTATTTTATTCATCAAACTACCTCTCATCAGATCATGTTTTTTCCCCCTCCTGCAATAGTAAAAAAGCCAGAATGTCTTGAATTGATTCTTTTGGATCAACCCTGACAGCAGTTACTGTTTGTCTGAAAACACTAAAAACTAAATGTTTTCCTCACTATGTGTGTAGTTTAGCTCTTAAATGACTCCTACACTTGAAAAAAAAAATCACAATCTAGATAAGTAATTTTTTCTTAAAATAAGTGCATTTGTTCTTGAATTGAGGAGATAAAAGATACATTTTTGCCAATGTGACAAGACATTTTTAATTAAAATTAATAAAATACAATTGCATTGTCTTATTTCAAGTGCATTTTATCTAATGATCTTATTTTAAGATTAAAAATACTCATTACATTGGCAAATTATCTCATGTACCTATTCAAATTAAAGGTAAATAAACTCTTTACTTATTTCTAGATTGTTTTTCCACAGTAAAATGACAAAATCGTGATTTTTTTGTGGCTTTTGGTATAAAAATATGTCACAGATAATAGATAATTTTCCCATCTCCCTAATTTAAAAACTTAAAATTTATTTACATTTCTACAAGTAAACCCTACATAGTTTTGGATGCAATGTAAAACCACGTTATGCTGCATTCACAGATACAAATCATTGTAGGTGTTTGTCAGAATGAAAATAGCCCAGCTCTCTCAGATGGGTTGGAAACTTTAACTAGGCCTTTCTAACATATAAATATGTTGTGATTTAAAGCATTCCAGTGTGTCTCTCTAGCTTCATGTTTACGTTGGTTCTGCTTGAAGGTGTCTTTTGCAGCTTCAGTACATTGTGTTTATGATGCTGCAAATTGGAGTCTCTCCTTCAACCTTTATGACCGGCAGACGGCACTATGGAGATGAGACAGGCTGTCCACTTTATCACTGAGCTTTTATTTAAGGTTTCGTTGGTTATATAACACTAGATGTGCATCGAGTGTTGATCTGGTATCGTTTTCCCTTTGTGTACACATAGATAATCAGTTATAGAGACGCGTGACACTGGGATGGCAGAGCCTTCCTTCTCTTAGATTGTTAGATTAACCAGACAGAGAACAACAGAGGAGCAGGAGAGTGACTGAAAAAGAAAAACAGCTATTTCAAATGTAACAATTAAAAAATCTAGTTAATGAATATTAAATTTAATTATTAAAGAGAAATTGTAAATTGCATTTATTATTCCAATAATAAAGATTGAAAATGTATTTTCAAATCATATTTAAAAAGGTGGATTTAAAAATTACAATTTATAAATCTGATTATAAATACAGTTTCTAATCACATGTTTAAAAAGGCTATTCCTTATTCCATTTCTATTTTCTTTTTTACCTTCCATTTTAAAATCTGTTTTGCTTTTGCATTTCCTTATAGGTAACATTATTCAAATGGGGTTTGAAATTGTATGATTTAAATGTTAAATTTGAAATGGCTGTTTCTTTCTTTTTTAGTGGCTCTCCTGGTCCTCCGTAGCACAGGTTTAAAAACAGCACTAGATTCCACTAATTTTAAGTTTATCTTCTTTGGTCCTTAAAGTGAATCATTTCCTTGTAATTTCCCTCTTTCATCTCCTAAACTCCAAAATTAGAAAGTTTGATGCACATCCCATATTTTTACCTATTTTTTCCCTCAATGTTTTTTCAATAATTATTATTTTAATTTCACACAGTAAATCACTTTAAATGTAAAATATTACAATAAAAAAGTTTTTGATAGGTTGTGTGTGTTAGAAGTGTTTACATCACCTTTTCTTATTCTTGGTGTAATTCACAGTATTTGCCACACGGGGTCACTGTACTCCATTTAAAGCACCCAGGCTTCTAAACAAACTCATCTGTTAGGTTAAAGGTTACAAAAGGGTCTTGCTTCTAATAAAATCAAATAGTGTCAGAACATCAACACAGATGGATTTAAACCCACAAAAGCCTGTTTAGAGTGAAAATGGAAATCAGAAACAGAATCTTTAGATGCTGTGCTGGAAATGCTCAGAAATCCTAAGAGTATTAGTCATTGTTTGCTTCCTCCACAGCTGTTCCTATAATAGTTTGGTCCTCACTGAGTCAAACCTTAAAGGTACACTATGCAACCGGTGTTGATTTTCCAGTGAGGCTCCCTCCAGAGGGCGAAAGTAAAAGTGCACTGTCGTAAATATGCTCAGCTGTTCTCCTGGTTTCTCCGTCAAGCCAGGCGCGGTTGTTTTGAGCTTAGCAGCGAATGACTAATGCTGCGTTCACACTGGACGTAGCTGGCACGACAGAAGCAGCGAGTTTACATGCAAAGTCAATGGTTGACGCGCGTCAAGGCGCAACAAAAGGTCCCGCGGCGCGTTTTGAGCACCAGGCGCAGCACGTCTGAGCAGCTGAAGCAGCGCATCGGGCGCGTTTAACGCAGGGAGAGAGACACAGCGCTGATGATCACTCCTCTTAAACAGTTTATTGACGCCTAAATCAACTTAAAATGCAGAAATCTGCCGGCAGAATATGCAGTTTGGATTATTTAGATGAAAAACACCTACCAGCTGCCGCGGTGAACCGCTGCTGATGAAGGGATCCATACTGTCGGCGCCCCGCTGGTATGTGGGGGTCTGAGCGGCTCCGACAGAAAAAAAATATGGAAGGCAGGATAATAATCTGAATGAACTGACTGCACTGATTACGTTTTCAGGTGTATTTTCTCACTTAAACACATATTAAAACTACTTTATTCCCACTGATCACAGCAAATATAGCTGCAAGGCAGAGAAAGGATAGTGAAGCTCCGCCCAACGCGCGTCAGAGCCACTTTTGCACCGGGCAGCCAGAGCAGCAAAGCTGCTTCAGCCACGCGTCAGAACTAAACTGGTACAAGCAGTAAAAATGAAGCAGCAGACGCGATTTTGCTGCTTTTGCTGCGTGAACGTAGCATAACTGCACAAAGATTGCTACTGTGCTAGCAACGAGAATGCTTTTAACTGGGGGGTGTAGCCAGGGCCGGTTCTAGCCCTTTGGTTGCCCTAGGCGAGATTGAGTTTTGCCCCCCCTCACTTTTGCCGTGCGAAATACCAGCACTGTTTTCAGCATCTGTTTAGTGCTTCATTGAGTTGTGTTTACAGTTCCACAAAGAGTGCTATGCGGTGAATTGTGCCTACAGTTGTGCAAAGTGTGTGTTACAAAATTGCAAATTGAGTGCAAAGCAGTGTTTGTTCTTTTAGTTTTGTGAACTCAGTGAGTGGATTTGCTATAAGTATTAATAGTTTTAGAAATTGTGCTATAAGAATCAAGGTTGTGTTTAAGCATTCAGAAAAAACTGTAACTTAGCATGGAGTGATGCATAGACAAATACCAGAATAGGTTTCAGAACCTTTTCTTTTTTATTTTAAATAATTTATTACACACTCAAAGTTAGGACTGTGCAAAAACACTTTTAACCATCTGTAAGGCTACTTAGGTAAAGTATAACTAAAAAACTGGATTGAATCAATGAATGAATTTATTTCAGACAATTAACAAATTTAACACACATTAAACAAATATTAAATAAATCAATTTCAGAAATTACCAAATAACAATAAAAAATAATAAATTTAAGAAATTCTTCAACCAAGGACTACATAAAAAAGTAATTGATAAACATTAAATTAAATTTTCTGTTCCAGTTCAATTAAATCATTTGAACATAAATAGAAATGAGATAAGCAAAATTTTCCTCTAAATAAAATATATCAGGTATATTTACCCTGATTTCTGACATTGATTAGTGATTAAAGAAAGGATTAACCCTCTACAAACAAAAGTGCTTTTATGAATACCATTACAAAATTAAAAGTTTGAAGTTGTTGTTGTTTTTTTTGTTCACATATTCTATGATGAACAGCCATAACTTCATATATTTTGATGATTATTTGTACATCCCTTTTGAATACTCAATGCAGATAATCACTACAAAATATTTTATTTATATTAGTATCTTCTACCCATTCTCAAGCTAATAATATAGCACATAATTCTGCTGCATATATACTGAGAAAAAAATGATGTCAAGATTAGGGATGGGGATCGTTAATATTTATTGATATTGATACCTTTATCGATACTCCTTATCGATCCGAGTCTTTATCGATACCACTATCGATACTTTTCTGTTATTTGGTGGAAAGACGATGCAACAAAGTTTTATTAACAGAACTGGTATTGCTTCTATTGCTTAACAAGTGAGCATAACAAAAACGTTTCTAGCCTTCATTAAACATGGCTAATGTAATAGGCCACTTCGAAATGACATAAAACTAACTAGAATATATTTTCACAATTGTTGGTTGATGTATTGTCTACTGTCACTTTTCATCATGTTTTTAGTGATTAGGAAAATATTTAACTAATAAATAATTGTATTTTAAATTAAATGTAATCTTTAATAAATGTTGGCATCAGTAGTTTAATTATATATAGAGCAATATACAACTGTATTACTCATGTTTCTCGCCAAAAACAAAATTTCCCGTTTTCTTTACGTTACACTTGAACGCATCATGATAACCTAATTGTCGTTTTACTGAGCCAATCTGAACACATCATCACGCAGCACGTCTGAAACTTTATTTACTTTTCAAGCTAACTAGCTTGTATGCTTCCGATTACAACACGGATTTCACAATTAATATTTTTAACTGACCGGACAAGCTACAAAGTCTGTGTGCGCTTACCAGTGGTACTCTGAGTGGATGATGAAGACGGGCCCGACCGCGAGCAAAGTTAAGCAAGTACGTTTGCTTACAATTTCATTCCAAAACATTGGTGGACATGCTGCAGTGATTGACGTCACGACTTCCGGGTTGGAGGGCGCTTGAAAAGTGAT